CTCCGTGCAGCCACCAGGGCGTCCCTTGGGAAGCCCAGAGTCCGTGGAGGTGCCAAATGCCTCCTGCCCAGACAAACACCTCGGCACAGACACCTTTTCCACGCCGGGGTGGGCTGAGGGCTATTACCAGTGGCAATTTGAGGTCACAGCGCCAAGGAAGCCCCACCAGGAGCAGCCTCCAGCCTCCCTCCAGCCCTCCCTGCCATAGGAAATGAACCCGGGCTCCATCTTGCAGAGCAGAGTGGCTGCAGCTGGGCTGGGAAGGGGCTGCAGCAGCTTTTTGCCTCCATTTCACAGCTCCAGCTCCCTCGTGCAGCGAATGTGCCTGGCAGTGGTGGCTGCTGGCCCCGAGCTCAGGTGCCTCGTCTGGCCTCGCTCCGTGGGGCTCTGTTTTCTCGCTGCTTGGTGAAAAGCAACAAAAGGCTCTGTCCCTGCTGCTCCTCATCCCTGCTTTTACCGCGGGCTGTGCTCTGCCAAATTCCCTTGGCTTTAGGAGACACCGGTGCCTCGCTCCGCAGCGCTGTGCCTTTCTTGGCTGACAATGGTCCCTGGCTGCAAAACCTCATTAGATTAATTGGCCTTGCCAGCTCCTGAACAAGCAAGGCCTTTAGTCGTGCAGGGGCGCAGAGGGCAGGGGAAGGAGGGAGCTCTGGGGCTTCCACGCTCCCTCGAGCTGCCTGTCCCAGCCCTTGGCTCCAGCTGGAGCCAGGGAGGAGCAACTGGAGCTCCTGGCTGCCTTAGGCTGGGCGCGGCTGTGCCCAGGTGGTGCCTTTGCCTTTCCGGGGTTCAGGACAACACCTAGCTTTGTGCTTTCGGAGTGACAGCCCTTGGAAGTCGGGTGTTGGTGAGTTTTGTGCTGGTTTAACCCTCTAAACAACAGGGAGATCTTAGCTCCAGATCTGCCCTATCCTTCCACCCTGCACGGAGCGGGGAAGCTCCTGGAGGCTGGGGTTTAGCGGGTGCAGGGAGGAGAAGGCTGGCAGTGATCGATTGTGCGAGCCCCAGCCCTGCCCGTGAGCAGCGCTTTGCTGCCGCAGCTGGGGCAGCGGCTCCGCAGCTCCGCAGCCCTGGCACACCCAGCTCGGGCCCGGCCTTTGATCCCTCTCCGTGCCCGTCTGTCTCTTCCACATGACTCGGCACAGGATCACAGCTGGCCAGGCTGCGCCTTCACAGGAGCCCCCGTCTCCAAAGACCTATTTAATTTTCTCCTTCAAGGTGGTGTTAGCAACACCCAGAAGATGCTGCCGGCTGCCTTGGACGAGTGGGCTGTGTGTCCTTTCCACCACTGACGTCAGCTTCTCTCCCTTAATTCCCCCTCTGGGACCGAGGCGAGTGCAGGCGCTGCCAGCTCGGATCAGCGTTAGCAGCCTGCTCTCCCCGTGTGTGGCAGCTCCGCCGTGCCAATGTCACCCCCGACTGGCGCTGCCGTCCCTGCCCAGGCGGCCACGGGCGGTGGGAGAGCGCTCCCCTCTCCCAGCATCCTGGGAGGGCCCGGTGCCAGCAGAGAGTCCCCGTTCCTCGCACGTAGGTGTGCTGAGATGGCAGCTCAGCCCCTCAGAAATGGCTGACTCCTCTCTGGCGCTCCCGCTGCCTGGTGGGTTTTTCTCTCCTCCTCCCTGCCTTTGCCGTTGCCTACGCGGGTGTGTGGGGAAGGCAATCGGCTCCCGTGCTGCGGATGGCTTTATCTGTAACTCTTCCATCTGCTCACAGCAGCTCACAAATAACCACGGGGTGCCAGAGGAATTATGTTATTTGGAGCTCAAGTTTCTGCAGTCTGGCAGGGCAGCAGCTCTGCGCCGGGCTCAGCCGCTCTGCAAAGGCCAGCGCCGCCATGGCCAGGGCTTAAGGCAGGACTGGGGAGGTGGCCAGGGCTGAATTACTCTGCCCATGCAGTTAGACAAAGCCCCAGCCCTGAGCCAGCATGGAAGCCTGGTCCTCTGGGGGCTTTCTGTGGAGAGCAGAGGGTCCTGCTGGCCCCGGGTCCCTGCACGGCCGTGGGCTCGTGGCACGAGGCAGCAGGGATAAAATGGGAGGCTGCTGAGCCCCTCTCCTTGAGCTCTGCTGTCTCCCACCAAGCAGAGCCCTTTCAGACAGGCCTCCCTCCCCGGGAAGCACCATGGATGCCCCGGAGCCGTGGCTGTGGTGGTGGTGGCCGGGGATGATGCTCGAGGCCGGGCTGTGCTGGGAAGTGCCTCCCGCTGCCTCCGGCATTTGGTAAAACACTTACAGCAGGGCCGTGTTTTCTTCATTTCCTGCCTGCTGCCGCTTCCAAGGAAACAAAATCCCCCAAGCTAGGGCTGAGGTTTCTCATTTAAATGTAACCCAGGCCCATAACTGGAGCTGCCAGCCCTCCCCGTGGCCCGGCGGTCCCAGGGTGGTGCAGGAGGAGGCACCTCAGGACTCGTGGTCCCATCGTGGGCACTCAGTAAAGCACTGAGAGCACAGACCCAGCCCTGGGGTGGGGTTTGGGAAGGGCAGGGCACCCCAGGCAGGGCACTTGGGGTTCAGGGTGCCAGGGGGAGGTTTTGCAGTAGCAGCAGCCTCCTTCCCTCCCCCATCTGGCAAAACCCCGGAGGTTTTGGCACCAGGGCTGGAGCAGGGTGGTTTGGGACCAGCCCTGGCTCTGTTGTGGGTGCTGCCAGCTCTCTCACCTGCACGGTGGCCAAGGGCAAGTGCTCGGAGCCAGATCTGGGCTCCACTGCTGCCAGCAGAGAGGGGAGAGAACCCCAGCCCACCCCCCTGCCTGCCCTGCAGCACAGCCAGGCCTTGGAGACAGGAGCTGCCTGTGCCTGCAGCATCTGCTGGGAGCCTGGGAAGGGCTGGCCCTGCCAGATGTGCGAGCACAGCTGGGGTGAGGCCATGCCCACCTCTCTTAGGTCTTATTTTAACCCCACAGTTGGGCAGTTGGTCCCTCCCGAGCCTCTCCTGCACGTCCCTGGCGTGGGGGTGGCTGCTCAGCACTCTGGCACCTTCTTGGATGGATTTGACTCTTTTTTATAGCTTCACTTTCTGCATCTTTCTCCACACAAAAGGGAGCAGGCTGGGCCCTGCTGTGTGTCCCCACCTGCTCCATCCTCCCCCAAAGGCCTGGAGCAGCCAGGAATGGCTCTGGGCTGGCTGGAGAGCGACCAGCAGGGCCAGGGCTCCCCCAGCCCTCCTGGAGCAGGGAACGGGCACAGGCGGGAGCCAAAGGTGCCTCCCCCCCCGGGAAGGGGCACACGGAGCTGGGCAATGACCCCGTGCTGGCAGCAGGGGATGGGCTGGGGGTGACATTCAAGGATTCAGTGGGGGCTCAGCTCCCGAGTTTCTGGTGCTGGGGAAGCGCCTTGGCCTGAGCTGTGATGGCTTCTGGTGCCACGTTGTCACCACAGCTCCTGAGCCCTCTGCCTGCCCCCAGCAGCCTGGGAAGCTCAGCACAGCCCTGCCAGGAGCTGGAACGGGGGGGCTGCAGCCCTGGGGCCCCCAGCACGGGCTGTGCTGGGTGGGAGCCTGAGCAGGGCTTCCAGCACACCTGAATGGTGCTGCCTCTGTGCCTTGCACACTCTGGTGTGTCACCCTGTCCCCAGGGGAAGTGACAGGGAGCCCAGGGAGGGGGAGGAACTGGATGGGCTTGCACACCATGAGGAAGCTCCCTCTGAAGACATCAGCAGGGGAGGCACGAGGGAGAGAAAAGCAGTTTCAGCTGCCATGTGATGTTGATATAAGAATCACCAGGTAAAAACTGCCCCTGAGCACAGCAGAGCTGGGAATTGCAGGATTTTTCTCTGCTGGGGGAGGTAGGCTCGGGATTCATCTCCTGAGGGATCTCAGCGGGGCCCTGGGGCAGAATGAACAGCTCCACCCTCTGGCTTAACCTCACTGGGGACAGGGGGAGCCCGAAATTCCCCATCCCCAGCCTGAGCCCAGCCCTGGGAGAGCGGGGGACAATCTGCGGGGCCCTCGGCCCCCCCATTCAGCCCCATCTCCCCGCATCACTGGCTGGCACAGCCCCTGCCAGCGCTCAGGGAAATCTGCATTTCCTTTGCGATAAACAGCCGCAGGTCCCCAGCCAAGGTGAAGCAGAGCCTGGGGGCCGCAGACACCCCCGGCCCCGGCCGCGCCCGGCCCCGGGCTCCGCCGCATCCCAGCGCATCTGAGATGCGCAAATTCCCGTGAGAGCCCCGCTGGCCCGGCCGGGGCGGCTCGGGGGGCGCGCAGGGCGGGACCCGAGGGGCCGAGCTGCCCTAATTAGCTCTGCCATCATTAACCCGCCCTCCCTGCCGCCGGCAGGCAGCTGGGGCCGCCGGGGGGGTGCTCGGATCCCCTGTGAGCGGCAACGCTGGGGATCTCAGCCAGGGGTGCTGGGCACGGCCCCCGTGCCCCCTTCACCAGGAGAGGGACTGCGAGCAGAGCTGCAGGCAGAGCTGGAGGCAGAGGCGCCGTTCCCGCTGGATGCAGGGCCCAGGTTGCACCCCTCGGATGGAAGCCGTGAATGAGTCCCTGCCATCCCCGGGTGGGGGACGTGTCAGATGTCACCAGCAGAGCCGGATGCAGCCCCTGTGCCTGCTGGGGCTGCGAGGATGAGGATGGTCAGGGGCCTCCGTGCTGCTCCCCCCGGGCCAGCTCCTGCTAACAGGATGTGATGGGTGCGGGAGGCGCTGTCACTCGGCATCTCTCATCCGGGAGCAGGGAAACGGAGCAGGGATGGCCCTGGTGGCACTCGGGAACCTCCCCCTGCTCTGCCCCCTCGGGAAACACCGTCCCACCCCCTCCCCAGCATCAAACAGCCGCACCTCATACCACAAATTAATTTATTCCCCTACCAGAGTTGTAAACAAGAAGCAGCCCCCCCACCCTGACCCACCGAGGGTCCCCATCCAGAGGGGTCCCCATCCCGAGGGGATCCCATCCCCAGGGGTCCCCTTCACGAGGGGCCCTTCACATCCATCTCCCCAGAAATGTGCAAATCCAACCCCAGTGCAAAGAAAGGCTTTGGCAGGGGGAGCCCTGGGTGCCGTGAGGGGGGTGGCAGCACACAGGGGACCCCAAAACTTGTGGGTTTGGGGGTGCAGAGGCTCGGGCAGCCCCCCCTCCTGAAGGCAGCGAGCACTAGAGGGCAGCAGGGCCCAGCACTGGGTGCGGGAGGGAGGCATGGAAATCAAATTAAATAATAATTCAAATACCGATAAATAAATAAATGGGCGGCTGGAGAAGGGGGGGAGGGGGTTGAGTCCCTCCTCCTCTGGCAACGAGTCTCTCCTCCCCTTCCCCAAATGTATAAAATATATTCTGACTATCTGAGGTAAATAACAAGGCTGTAAAAAAAACAAGAGGGGGGTGAACGTTCCTGGCGTTTCCCCACCCTTAAAAAAATAAAGCATCATAAATAGTTTTAAAGAAAATATGAGGATCAGCCCCCTCTCTCTCACACATAAATATAGATTATATTATGGATAAAAAATACGTCTTTCTCTCTATTCAAAAAGTGGAAAAATAGAGGAGAAGAAGGGGTTGTGCCCAAAAAGGACGAGGCTGGGAAGAGCTGCTTGTTTCCAAGAGCTCCTGCATGAAAAGGGGGCATGAGAGCAAATCCCCCTGTGGCTGCAGTGACGTGAAGGTGAGTGAGGATGGGGGGTCAGACGTCGCTGGGGGAGCGGGAGCGGAAGGGCGGCGAGGGGGAGACGCAGCCACAGCACACGGCCCACAGCACCTTCTGGATCTCGCGGTTCCTGAAGGCGTAGATGACGGGGTTCAGCAGGGAGTTGTAGGTGGCGGGGAGCAGCGTGGCGTAGGTGTAGAGCGCCGGGGAGCTGCAGTCCCCCAGCAGCCCGTAGATGGCAAAGGGCAGCCAGCAGGACGCCAGCGTGCCCAGGATGACGGCCGGCGTGGCGATGCCCTTGCGCGTGCTGGTGCCGTAGTGGGAGCTGGCCAAGAAGTGCCTCTGCACGGCGATCTGGTGGGCGTGCCGGCACACGATCCGGCAGATCTGCACGTACAGCTGGAGCATCGCCGCCAGCACCGCCAGCAGGGAGGCCGAGAGCAGCACCAGGTGGCTCTTGGTCAGCGGCCTGACCACGCTGCAGGCCGACGGCTCCGCCAGACAGTTCCAGCCCAGGACGGGCAGCAGCCCGTGGCAGATGGAGGCTCCCCAGGTGAGCATCAGCATGATGTAAGTCCTGGTGACCGTCCGCTCCGAGTAGTAGGTGAGGGCGTTGTAGAGGGACAGGTAGCGGTCGATGGTGATGGCCAGCAGGCTGCAGACGCTGGCCGTGAAGGAGCCGACCAGCAGCCCCACGGTGAGGAGGCTGACGGCCTCTGATGGGATGAAGTACACGAAGGCAAAGTGCAGGATCAGCCCCACGCCCGCCAGGAGGTCGGCGGTGGCCAAGCTGCCGATCAGGAGGAACATGGGGGCGCGGAAGGCCGGGGTGTAGAAGATGACCACGACCACGATGGCGTTCTCACAGGAGATGATGGTCCCCGAGATGCAGAGGACAACATCCCACGGGTTCAAGGCGAGGGGCTGCACCACAGACTCCAGGTCCAAGGAGCTGCCGCTGCCATTCCTGGCTGAGAACCAGCCTTGCTGGCCTTCACTGGAGTTGGGGGGCCCTTTCTCCATCATGGTGGCAGAGGCTGGCCTGCAAGAGCAGCTGTCCACAAGCTGCCCCTGATGGGACAGTACTGCCTGCCCCCAAAAGTTGTCCTCAGGAGGGTGGGCAGAGCAGTGGAGGTTGAGAGTGTGCTCGCTGCTTGCTCCGAGGGGATTTTTCTGGATGAGATGGTTTAGTTTTAAAATAAATAGGTGAATAAAGGGAAGGGAACACACGCGCGCACACACACACACACACACACACACACACACACACCACCCCTGCTCCTGCCTGCCTTAGCTGCTGGGGGTTGGGCACTGCCTGATTTTGATGGGTAAATCCAGGGGAGCAGGACTGGCAGTGGGAAACACCGAAGTGAGGGGATCCCCGGCAGCAGGTAAAGGGGGTGCCCCTGCCCCCGCTCATCACCCCGCGGGAGCAGACACCCTCCCGTGCCCACCATGGCGTCCCTCCTTACCCTGGGGTCCACCCCTCCCCGGGCCGGCAGCGCAGCGCCTGGACGGGCTGGGGGGCACGGCCGCCCCTCGCCACCCTCCCCGTAGCGCGGCGCTCCGCCGGAGCGGGCTCCCCCTCCGCCGGTGCCGCCGGTGCCGCCGGTGCCGCCGGTGCCGCCGGTGCCGCCGGTGCCGCCGGGGCCGGGCACTCACCTGCCGGGGCTGCGCGGGGCTGCCCCGGTGCCATGGGCGCCGCCGAGTTATAGCGACCGGACCGACCGGGGGCCGGGGGGGCCCGGCGCGGGTGACTCACGGCCCCCCGGCCCCGCCGTGACGTCAATGCCGCACCGGAGCCAATCAGCGCCCGCGCGGGCAGCGCGGGAGCGCGCGCGCCGCATAGTAATCGCCGCTCATTCATAAAAAACAGCAACAACCGCCCCCCCCAGCCCCGCGCCCGCCCCCGCCCGCGCCGCCCCCGAGCCCGAGGGACCCCCGAGCCCAGAGGGACTCACGAACCCAAAGGGACCCCCGAACCCAGAGGGACCCCCCGAGCCCCCGAGGGACCCCCCAAGCCCGGGTCACCACCGTCCTGCCAGGAGGGAACGGGGCACGGGGCGGCCTCGGCGCTCTCCCCGCAATGCGGAGGTTTGGGGGCTCCGCTGGAGGGGGCGGCCCGGAGCAGGGGGTGCGGGGTGGTCGAGGATGGGTCCCGTCCTGCCCCCGCACGGCCGGGGCTGCGCTGCGCCCTCCCCTCCCGGTGCGACCCCGTGGGACGTTCCCACAGCCGGGCTGAATAATTCAGGGCCCGGAGGAGCGGGAATGCCCGGCCGGGGGGGCTGCGGGAGGGGCTGCGGGGAGCTCTGCCCCCGGAGAGGAGGAGGAGGAGAGGAGGAAGGACAGGGCTGCGCTCCTCCAGGCTCTTCCCCCGCGCCGGTTCCTCGAAGCCGGCGAGGAGAGAGGGGGTCCCGGAGAGCCCGGGCTGGGCAAAGGCTCTGCTGGGACCCCTCGGAGCCCGGGCAGGGACCGGAGTGTCCCGGGCACGGCCCTGGAGCGGGCAGGGAGTGCGGGGAGTGCGGGGCGCTGGGCACGGGCCGGCTGCAGGCACACGGAGCGGGCAGGTGTGTACAGGGCGGGCAGAACGTGCAGGTGTGCGGTGTGTGCGGTGTACACGGTGTGTGCAAGTGTACAGGTGTGTACACATGTGTACAGGTGTGTGCAGGTGTGTACAGCTGTGTACAGCTGTGTTCACTTGTGCACAGGTTTGCACAGGGGTACAGGTGTGGGCAGGGGTGCACAGGTGTGCATAGGGGTACAGGTGTGTACAGGTGTGTACAGGTGTGTACAGGTGTGCATAGGGGGTACAGGTGTGTACAGGGGTACAGGTGTGTACAGGTATGTACAGGTGTGTACAGGTGTGCACAGGGGTTCAGGTGTGCACAGGTATGTACAGGTGTTTACAGGTGTGCAAAGGTGTGTACAGGGGGTACAGGTGTGTACAGGTGTGCACAGGGGTGCAGGTGTGCACAGCGTGTACAGGGGGTACAGGTGTGTACAGGTGTGTACAGGTGTGTACAGGGTGTACAGGTGTGTACAGGTGTGTACAGGTGTGTACAGGTGTGCACAGGTGTGTACAGGTGTGTACAGGTGTATACAGGTGTGTACAGGGGTACAGGTGTGTACAGGTGTATACAGGTGTGCACAGGGTGTACAGGTGTGTACAGGGTATACAGGTGTGCACAGGGTGTACAGGTGTGTACAGGGTATACAGGTGTGCACAGGGTGTACAGGTGTGCACAGGTGTGCACAGGGGGTACAGGGGCACACCTGTGCAGTCCGTGCAGCCCCAGCTCTCCCACGGCCGATGGGTGCTCGGTGGGTGCTCGGTGGGTGCTCGGTGGGTGCGATGGGGGGGACGCACCCCGCGAGAGCCCCCCCAGCCCCGGGCCGGGCCCGCCGGGGCGGGGCGGGGCGGGACGAGGCGGGGCCGCCCCCCCTCCCCCGCCGCCGCCGGGGCCGCCTCCCGCGGGCGCGCATCTGCTCCGCTCCGCTCTCCCGGGAGATCCGCGGGCGCAGCTCCGCCGGGACCGTGCCGAGCCGGGCCGAGCGAGCCGGGCCGGGCCATGGCCCCGCCGGGCCCCGCGGCGCTGCGCTGCGCGCTCCTGTGCGCGCTGCTCTGCGCGCACGGACCCGCTCCCACCCGCGCAGGTACGGCCGGGGGCGCGGGAGGGGCACTCGGGCCTTCGCAGCCGCCGGGGCAGCTGAACTTTTCTGTGGGGGTTGGTTTTTGCCAGGGGTTCCCTCGCCCCCACGGGACTCGGCTGCCGAGCTTGGTTTGGGGGAGAGGGAGCCCTGCCCCGCTGCCAGCCGTGCTCGGGGGCTGGGACCCTCGAGGGCCAGGGGGGTGCGCTGGCTGCGGCGGATGAGCGGCGAGCAGGGCCCAGGCTCCTCCCCAGAAACTGTGGGGATCTCGTGGTGGGGAGAGGGGAGCGGAGCCGTCCCCTCCTTTCCGAGGTGCTGCAACTCCGGGCATTAATTACACAAACCCCGGGCTTCCCTCCGCTCCCATCCCCCGGCTGCTGCCGTTTCCACCCTGACTTGTCCCACGCGTGCTCCCCCTGGGAGCGGGGGTGCCCCGGGCCGCCCCCTCCCTCCCCACACCTGGCGGCAGGAGCGGGAGCTGGCAGCGCTGCGCTCGCGCGTCGGTTCCTGCGCCTGCCGCGATAAAAATAAATTATAAACCTGCCTAAAGCCTTGCGAACAAAGTCCTACTTTCCCATTGGCTCCCGGCAGGTCTCCAAATGCTGGAGGGGGGGCCAGCGGCGTGCCCACCCCCTCCCGTAGCCATGGCAATGGGGCCGCAGCATCTCCGCTTCCTGCCCTACGCCGCCAGTTGCCCCCTTGGCTTTTCCTAGGAAAGATGGGAAGGGGCTTTTCTCCCAGCCGCGCAGGGTTTTTGGGGAGCCCTCAAAGCTGGGGGCTGCAGTGGCGGCTCCAAAGGGAAGCGCTGCCGGCAGGGCGCCCTGTGCCCGTCCCAGCCCCTGGGGAACGCCAGCCCCAGCAGCCTCCGGCGAGCCCTGCCAGGAGGGTTTGCCCTGCGAGCCTGCAACACCCGCAGCGTGGGGAGCGGCTGCCGGCTCGTTCCCGGGATGGGGAAACGCGGGACGCGGCGCGGGCAGGGCTCCCGCAGCCTCCCTCCGCAGCCAGCGCTGTAAATTAATGATGAGCGCGAGCGGGGGAAGAGCAGCTCCGCAAGCAGCGGGTGACTCACCGCCCCCGGGCGGGGAACGGGGCTCCCGCGGGACGGCTGGGGCGGGCAGAGCGGGGACAGAGCGGGGACACTGCCCGGGTAACCCCGGCCAGGCCGGAGCTGCTGCTGTTCTCATTCCAGCCTCCACCAAGGATCCCAGACCCCGGCGCTGGGGGAGTTTCCTGCGCTGTGGGTGATGGGGGAGCCCTGTGTGAGCTGGGTGGGCGCTGGCAGCTGTGGCTGTCCCCTGGCTGGATGCTACAAACACCCCATGGGGACGGGTTTGGTGCTGTGGGATGTGCCCTCCTCCCTCCTGCTGCACCATCGGAATTGCCCCTCCGTGGGGCCGGGGTGCAGCCCCCTCCCCAGGGCCGCAGGGTGGGTGCTGGCCCTGCCCTCACGGCCTCTCCCCGGCTTTGGCAGGAGAGTGTGGCAAGCTGAGCTCCTGCGAGCTGTGCACCACAGCTGGGCGCTCTCACAACGGCACTGGCTGCGTCTGGGTGGGCTGCGGGACCCCCGAGGAGCCAGGTGAGGGCTGAGGGACCCCCGAGGGGCCAGGTGAGGGACCCCCGAGGGGCCAGGTGAGGGGTGAGGGACCCCCGAGGGGCCAGGTGAGGGACCCCCGAGGGGCCAGGTGAGGGGTGAGGGACCCCCGAGGGGCCAGGTGAGGGGTGAGGGACCCCCGAGGAGCCAGGTGAGGGGTGAGGGACCCCCGAGGAGCCAGGTGAGGGGTGAGGGGCCCCCGAGGAGCCAGGTGAGGGGTGAGGGACCCCCGAGGGGCCAGGTGAGGGGTGAGGGACCCCCGAGGAGCCAGGTGAGGGGCTCAGGGCCCCCGAGGAGCCAGGTGAGGGGTGAGGGACCCCCGAGGAGCCAGGTGAGGGGCTCGGCTGGGTGGGCACAGAGAGGGGCTCTCAGCAGCACCCCAGTGCCCAGGGCTGGTGGCTCTCAGCACCCTTGGGTGCCCAGGCCCAGCTGCTTTCCCCATCTCAGCTGCTCCCAAGGCCCTGCCTGGGGCTCTGCCCTGCGGGTGCAGCTCTGAGCCCCCGCTCCCAGACCCTCAGGGGGATGCCCACCCTGGCAATGAAACCTCCTCATCCCAACCCCTCAGGTGCCCCGGGCAACCCTGGGCCTGGGCAGCCCTGGCTGCCCTGCTTGGGATGCCTGGGAAACTCTGCTCCTCTCCCCCCAGGAGCAGGGAGCTGCGTGCAGAGAGGCTCAGCAGTGCAGGGGACCTGTGCTCTCTACAACAGCAGCGCCCTGTGCCGAGGTAACCCTGAGCCCAAAGCCCCCAGACCCTCTGGCCTTTGGGACAGAGCTGCTGCCAGGGCCATGGGGGTGAACTCCCACCACCGGGACAGGGACAGGCTGCAGGGGCGTGGGGCAATGTCCCCTGACACCCCTTTTACCCCCTTCCCTCTGTCCCTGCCTTCTCCAGCACTGAAGTCCCACACGGAGGAGCCTCCACGGTCCCATAGCAAGGAGCCAGTGACACACTCCACAAGTTAGTGGCTCTGGGGAGGGGTGGGAGGCAGTGGGATGGGGGTCCTGGGGGCTCTTCCCTCTCTAGCTCACGTTCCTTTGGGAGGGATGAGCGGAGCTGAACTCGGTGTTGGGCCAAGGGATGTCCCTGCTGTCCCCAGTCACAGCCCTGTCCCTGTCCCCCCTCTGCACTGGGCCATGCAGTGGCTCATGGCACCCATCAGCCCTCCTGGAACAAGCCCTGATCCCGGCCTTGCTGGGAATTGCCAGCTCCAGCCTGGCTGGGAGTGGAGCAGGAGCCTCTTCCAGTAAGGGGGAACTGGAGAGCACAGCAGGAAACCGGAGCCTGGAGCCTGCTGAATTATTGATCCACTGGGATCTTCTTGCTGCTGGCTCCTTTCCTGCAGCTCCAGCTGCTCTGGCAAGGGGCTGAGCCCATCCCAACAGCCCCGGATTGGTGGGGACATCCCAGCCCCAGGCTGGGAGCTGCCATCCCTCTCTGAGAAGCCCCAGACCCCCTGTCTTTGGTGTTCCCATCTGTGCTCGGGGGTGCCAGCAGCCCCCACGGCTCCCCAAAGCCCCCGTTTTCCCCGGCCCCCAGGGACCACCACCAGCAGCGCCCCGCTGACGGGCAGCCCCGAGTTCCACGCGCCCGGCTTCGACACGGCCAGCTTCATCGGGGGCATGGTGCTGGTGCTGTGCCTGCAGGCCGTGGCCTTCTTCCTCTTCAAGTTCATCAAGTCCAAGGACAGCACCTACCAAACGCTGTAAGCGCCCCCTGTGCTCCCCGGGATCCGGGAGGGACGGAGGGGGACCCGGGACCCCTACAGCCAGGACTGGCTCACCTGGGCAGTGTCCTGTGTCCCCAGTGCTGTGTCCCCAGTGTCCTGTGTCCCTGCTGTCCCCTCTGTCCTGTGTCCCCAGTCCCGTGTCCCCAGTCCCGTGTCCCGTGGCTCTTTGTGCCAGTCTGTCCCCACCCTGCAGGGGATGATTTGTGAGATGGAGGGGCTCACATCCCCCTGCCTGTCCCCTTGTCTGGCTGTCCTGCCCCCTCTGTCTGTCTGTCTGTCTGGGCCCTGGCTCTGAGCCCTGCCTGGGGCTGGGAAGGTCCCAGAGCTGTCCCTGGGAGCTGCCAGGGGGGCTCGGTGCTGTCCCCACTCCCCAGGATCGCTGGGTCTGATGTGGGGCCGTGCCCCCTCTCTCTTTCCTTCCACGCTGCCAGAGAGGACAACCAGTAGGTGCTGGGCAGAGGGGAGGGGGTGTCCCCCACCCCCAGAGCTTCACCCTTGCCTCGCCCTCCCCGGCAGAGGGGGACGTGGGCCCTCCCTGCTGGTTTGCATGACGGTGTTTCCCAACTGGTTTTGCTGTTTCCTGTCGGTTGTTAGGGAGGGAAAGGAAGGGGGTCCCCCCCCAGCCCCTTTCTGGCATGGAGCCCCTCGGGGGGGCAGCCCCATACAGCCCCTTCTGCCACCTGAGTGAGGTGTCCCCAGCGTCCCCAGCCCCACCCTGAGCCTCCTTGACAGCACAGGAACCGCAGGGCTCCCAGTTTGGCCCCAGTTTGGCCCCAGTTTGGCCCCGGCAGCCCCCTCCCTCTCTCAGTACCCCCTGCCCCACCGCCTCCCCACAGCCTTGAGGCTCGTGGGGCCGGGGGGTCCCCTCTTCCCCTCGTGGGCTCCCGGGTGCTTTTCCCTGCAGGATTTTGGCCGGAGCACCCATCCATGCCCGGATCCCCCCATGCCTGCCAGAGGAGGGGAGCCAGGGCCTTGCTGTGTGCTTTTGCTGTGCCTCTGTGTGCTCTGGGGGGGCTCGGGGGGCCCTCTCCCCCACCCTCTTTCTGTGTGCTGTTTTGGGGAGGGGGCTGCGTGCCGTGTGCTGTGGGGTGACACTTGTAGCTCGGGCTGCCCCCATTAAACTCTGCCAGGTGGTGTCTGTGTTGTGTCCGGGGGTTGCTGTGGCTGGGGGGGTGCAGGGGACCCCCCATCCCTCCCTCTTGGTGTGGGTGGGCCCTGGGACACCCCAAACCCCTCCCAGGGGCTGTGAGGGGCTGGGACCTTTCCTGCTACGCCTCCTCTCTGTCCAACCCCCAGGATCTGAGCTCCTCCAGGCTGGGGGTCGCTGTCCCCGGCCCCCCCAGGTGAAGAGGCCACCGCTGGTGTCCCCCCTGCACAGCCCCCCCACCACGACTATGCAAAGCCAGGAGCCCAGGGCGGGACAGGCACCCCCTGCCCCGCACGGTGCCTGGGGGTGCTCCGGGGCTCTGGGCCCCCCCGGCTGCTCCCAGGGGTGCAGCTGGGCCGGGGGGGGCCTCTCCAGCCCTGAATTCCTCCTTGGGCCCCCACCCTGTGCTTGCCATTCGCCCAGGGCACCCAGGGACCAGGGGACACGGCCATGGGGGGCACTGGGGGACCCTTGGTGGCCCCAGCCCCACACCAGGTAGAGCCCGAGCTGGAACAGGGGGACAGAAACCAATAAAGGATTTTCCTGTAATTTTTGGTGTCCGTGTCATTGTCACCCCCCAGCCCCAGCAGTCCTGGGACAGCAAAAACACCTTTGTGGATTTGGATGTTCTCCCACAGTGACTGGGAGCCAGGGTGGGCAGCCCAGAGCGGGGGACCCCAGTAAGAGAAGGGGCACCCGGGCAGAGCAGGGCCCCCACCCTGGGGGCTGGAAGGACGGGGATGGAGGGCACAGCCCCACACTGGGAGCAGCAGCTCCAGCCCCACAGTGGAGGGAGAAGGCAGGGGATGCTGGCCAGTGCAGCAAACAGCCACCAGATGTGCCCACAGCAATAAGAAGCTGCCAGATGTGCCCACAGCAATAAACAGCTGCCAGCTGTGCCCTCTGGTGCCACTTCATTGCTGCTGGAGGGGAGGGCACAGACCCCAGCCCGCACAGACCCCGCAGTCCCGCTGGCAGCAGCCGCTCCGCGGGGCTGGGGCTACCCCCGGGGCACCAGGTTGGTCCGCAGGGGCAGCAGCGCCTCCACCCAGCGCCCGGGCGTCTGCAGCAGCTGCTTCCACACGCCCTGCTCCTCCGCCGTGGAGTCCATCCAGCCCACGGGCAGCCCGTAGCTGCTGCCTGCGGGGAGAGCACGCCGTCAGCCCCGGGGATGGGGACACCCTGGGGACATCCTGGGGACACCCCAGGGGATTGGGGACACCCCGGGGACTGGGGACACCCTGGGGAGCTGGGGACACCCCTGGGGACATCCTGGGGACTGGGGACACCCTGGAGAGCTGGGGACACCCCGGGGACTGGAAGGCCCTGCTCTCACCGGTGCCCAGGCTGAGGCGGATGCCACCCAGCTGGCATTTGGAGAAGGCTTCGTGGTGCCAGAGGGTGAACTCAGCACAGGCCTCGGCCAGGTCCCTGGCCTGGAAGCCGTCGTACACCATGGTGTGGTTGAAGAGGGGGTTCAGGCTCCGCTTCACCACCCGCGTCTTCTGCCGGCTGGCCTTGCTGTCGTCGGGCAGCACGTAGCTGGGGGGACACTGGGGTCAGGGGGACGCCCCAGCTGCCCCTCGGGTGTCCCCAGCGTCACCCCCACCCTTACCACTGCACGAAGGCATCCACGGTGCCGCTCTGCAGCGGGATGAGGCTCTGGGCATCCTTCACCCAGATGTGCAGCTCGCCCGTGGGTGGCATCCCCGCTCCTGCGGGCCAGAGGGGTCAGGGCCACCCTGCCATGCCATGCCATGCCATGCCATGCCATGCCATGCCATGCCATGCCATGCCATGCCATGCCAGCCCCCCTGGCTGCCCACGGGCCCCTCTCACCTTCCGAGCCGGCGGGGATGAATTTGAGCGCCAGGTTGAGGCTGCCACGGCTGGCCAGGCCGTGCGAGGGGATGGGCACCTGAGGAGCACAGGGGTTACAGGGGCACTGCACCCACGGGTGGCCGGGGAGGTGGGCAGCTCACCCGTGGCTGCAGGCTGAACCACTCGGGCCGCGTGTTGGCCCAGTCCCAGGTGCCCAGAGCCACCTCCACCTCGCCCAGGAAGAGGTTCCTGCCCAGGCTGTCATGGTGCCACACGGAGAGGTTCAGGGTCCGGCCCTGCAGGTCCCTCTTCTCCAGCTTGTACTGGTGGGGAGGAGACACAGGGTGGGATTAGCCACCCCACCCACCCAGTCTGAGCCACGGGCACCCTCCAAGCCCACCCCAAAGGAGGGTCGGGAACCTTGAGGGTCTCGTTGAAGACGGGGTCCAAGCTCCTCTTCCTCACCGCGGTCTTGCGCTTGCTGCGGTTGGACTTGTCGGGCAGCAGGTAGGTCTTGATGTACCTGGGGCCGAGAAACGAGCTGGGGGCAGTGGGGCCGAGGGGCGTCCCCTGGGCAGTGCCGCGGGGCTGGGGCACTCACGGGTCCGAGCGCTGCTTCTTGGCCTCGGCCAGCTGGCGGCAGCGCAGGACGTGCACCTGCAGCTCCTTCTCGGCAGCCTGGTAGCGCAGGGAGAACTGCACGCAGCCCCGCACGGCCACCCTGCCCAGCTCCCCCTCGCTGTACAGGCTCATCAGGCTCCCGCTCAGCTGCGGGAAACAGGCAGGGGCGATGGGGAGGTGACCCCTGCCCACCCTGCACCAGCCCCAGCCCCAGCCCCAGCCCCAGCCCCAACCCCAGCCCCAGCCCCACTCCCAGCCCCATCCCAGTCCCATTCCCAGCCTAAACCACACCCCCAGCCCCACTCCCAGTCCCATTCCCACTCCCATCCCCATCCCAGTCCCCTACCGTGGAGGAGCTGAGGCTGGACACGGAGGAGCTGGTGCTCAGCAGCCTCCGGGGGGTGTGGCCGTTCTGTGGGGACAGTGGGTCTGGGGGCATCTGATCCGTCTGGGGGGTCTCTGGTCTCTGGAAATACAAAGAGGGGTCAGCACCCCCCCTTGGGCCCCCAGACCCACTGAGGACAGCCAGTGCCTGGTGCTTGGTGCAGCCCATGCTGTGCTGGCTTTGTCCAGTCCCCCCAGACCCCCAAAACCCCACACAGACACCTCCAAAGCTCCTTACAACCCTCTCCAGCCCCCCAGTTCCATAGGGCCCCCCCAGCCCCATCCCACCTGCCCAGCACTGTGGCTGCCGTGTGCCGAGTCCGGCTCTTCCTCCTCCTCCTCATCCTCCTCTGTGCTGCTCGAGCCCAGGGAGGGACCTCCCGTGTCACCTGCAAGGACAAGGGGTGGGCAGGGGTCCAAGCAGCAGGGGGGGCAGGAGGGGGTCCCTGCAGTGCTGGGGGACTCCAGCCCCAGCCCCCCAGCACTGACCCGGTCCCGCTCACCTGGGCTGTCCTGCTCCCTCGGGGGGATGGCACCCTGCAGCACGGGCTGGGAGCCCGGGGTCCCCTCCACAGCCGGGCCGGGGGGGCTGGGCTGAGAGGGAAAGGGTCAGAGGGGACCCCGGGCACCCCCAGCTGCTCCCCCAGCCCGGCCCAGCCCTCCCCTGCGTGTTCCTGGGGACAGGATGAGGGATGACCCGAGGGACACCCCATGGGACCTTCTGTGGGACATTTCCCATCACTCCAAGTGCAGCACAACCCTGGGATGGCACTGGGGGTGCTGCAGGGTGAACCCCACCCATCACCGGGGTCCAGGTGCTCCTTAACTCCCCAGCAGGGACCCACCTGGGGCTCAGTGGCCTCCTGCACCTCCTCGGGGGGAGAACTGCGGGAAGAGACCACCGTTAGTTTGGCCTAGATGGTGGGCAGCCAGACACCAGGACAGTGAGAGACAGTGGGGGACAGTGGGACAAGGGACAGATGGACCCTGGGATGGTGGACAGACGGGTGCTGGGATGGTGAGAGGCACTGGTGGACAGATGGGCAGATACCAGCCCTGACTGTGCTGTCCCCTCCACCGGGGCTTCTGTCCCCTCCAGCCCCCTCGTGCCTCCCCCAGTGGGTGCCAGTGAGATGCCACCAGCCCCGGGGCACCTGCGGGATGACGCCCTTCCTTCCTCACCTCTCATCCGTCTCCAACGCGCCATCCTCATCCTCCCTCTCCTCTGCCAGCGGCTCATCGATGGCCTCCAGGCTAGGGCCGCGCTCCAGCTCCCCCGTCCCTGGGGACACCAGGGAGCTCAGCGGGCCCAGCCCCGTCCCCCACCCCGTCCCTGGGGACACCGGGGAGCTCAGCGGGCCCAGCCCTGTTCCCCACCCCGTCCCTGGGGACACCGGGGAGCTCAGCGGGCCCAGCCCTGTCCCCCACCCCGTCCCTGGGGCACCGGGTTGCTCAGCAGGCCCAGCCCCGGCCCGAGCCCCGGTCCCGGTGCCCCCCGCGTACCCCGGGGCCGCCTCCTGCGGCGGATGGAGGCTCGCACCAGGTCGGAGCCCAGCGGGTGCTGGTGGCGCTGGGCGCGGGCGTCGCTGAACCAGTCCCCGGTGAGGCTCCGCAGCCGCGCCGGGTCCGACACCGACTTGCGGAGTTTGCTGGTGGGCGGGAGGGGGACACTGGGACCGCCGGGCTGGCACTGCCATCGGCCCCTGTGCCACCGCCCCAGAGCCTCCCCGGTGGATGGAGCCGCCCCAGCAGGGCCTGGGGGACAGCAGGACCCCTCCCCAGGGCCTCCGGGACCCCCGGTGCTGCTGTGACAAACCCTGAGCTCAGGGGGTGACCCCATCCCCGGGGGGGCAGGGGACCCTCGGCCTGGCTGTTCTGGGAACGGGGAACTCTCTCAGACCCCAGGGAGCTGCTGCTGGGGGCTCCCCGCTGTCCCCAGGGTGACCCCGACCCCCGGCCCACCTGACGCGGCCCTCCTCCCGCCGGCGGAGCTGCCAGTCCCGCTGCAGCACGCGGGCGATGCAGCTCCGCTCCTCCTCCGTCAGGAAGCTCAGGTCCAGCGGCGGCTCGGGCTGCAGCGCCATGCGGGGCGGCGGGGACAGCGCGGGGACAGCGCGGGGACAGCGCGGGGCCACGGGCGGCTCAGCGCGCCGGGCGTGCACCAGCGATGCCAGCATCCCGAGGGGCAGCTGGGGGCCGCTGGGCGGGATCCCCCCCGCGCATCCCGCTGCGAGGACAACGGGGCGAGCTCAGCCCGCAGCCCCTGAACGGCCACAGGCACAGGGGACACCGGGCCGGGGCCCAGGGTGCCGGGGAAGGGCGCAGGCAGCCCGGGGACACCGGGCCGGGGCCCAGGGCGCCCGGGAAGGGCACAGGCAGCCCGGGGACACCGGGCCGGGGCCCAGGGTGCCCGGGAAGGGCGCAGGCAGCCCGGGGACACCGGGCCGGGGCCCAGGGAAGGGCACAGGCAGCCCGGGGACACCGGGCCGGGGCCCAGGGTGCCCGGGAAGGGCGCAGGCAGCCCGGGGACACCGGGCCGGGGCCCAGGGAAGGGCACAGGCAGCCCGGGGACACCGGGCCGGGGCCCAGGGTGCCCGGGAAGGGCGCAGGCAGCCCGGGGACACCGGGCCGGGGCCCAGGGTGCCGGGGAAGGGCGCAGGCAGCCCGGGGACACCGGGCCGCTCCTCCCGCTGCCGGCTCCGTGCCAGCCCAGCCCTGCCCGCGGCCGCTGTTTGCCCAGCGTGTTTGCTCAGGGCTGGCTCTGCCCCTGCCGCTTTCCCAGGGATTCACCGGCTGCCAGGGCACACGGACAGATGGCAGAAGGGGCTCGGCTGCCCCCGCCATGGGCAGAGCCCGGAGCAGGCCGAGGCCGTGCTCAGCCCATCACATCTCCCAGAGGGTCTTGCCCCATGCCCGGCGCTGCCTCACCGCGGCCCTTCCTGTCCCCGGCGTTGGGAAAGCGCTGCCTGGAGTCACCGAGGGCAGGAAATTGCAGCAGCCGTGGGGCAGGAGCAGCCTGAACCCCCTCGGGCACCCCCCCTCCACCAGCGGCCCTGTCCCCCGCCCCAAAGGTGACCCTGACCCCGCTCCACGGGTGGCCCTGTCCCAGCCTGTCCCGGCCTCTCCGAGGGTCCTTTCCCTGCCCCACAGGTGCCCCCGGGGTGTCAGACACCCCCAGCCCAGGACCTGAGCACAGTGGGTGCCAACCCCGCCACAGCAAACCAGGGACCCCCCCCCCCCCCAGCACACACAGGGAACCCCAACGCCCCCTGCCCCCCTCGGGCGCCCTGGGACACCCACCAGCCCCCGGCCCCCGACATGGCCCCGGGAGGGGTCCCGGGGGCACGAACCGGCTCTGCCCGGGGGCGGGGGTGATGCTGCCGCTGTGTCCCCGCCGCAGCCGCTCGTATCCTGTTCACAGCCGGCACACGGGGGGGTCCCCCCGCCCCGGAACAGAGCCGCCACCTAAAAATGTCACCGAGCTCTGAGCCAGGCCCCGTTCCCTTGGGGTGCCCCAAACCGAGCCGGGAAGGAGCAGCGGAGCCCCCAGGGGGGTGCTGGCGCCCGGCCCCCGCCCCGCACCAGTCAAACCAGTTCAGCCTCCCCAGCGGCCCCAGCCGGGGCTTGCACGTCCCCCTTTTCTCACTGCAGGCAGCCCGACAAGATGGGGGGGGGGGGGGGGTCCAGACGGTGTGAAACGCCCCCAGGCCCCCTCCCCAAAGTGCACGCACGGCCGGCCCCTCCCGGGTGGCACCCCCGGCCCCAGGCAGGTCCCAGAGCCCGGAGCCCCCCCTCGCCTCCTCCCGGCACCAGGGACCCATCCCGGGGGCTCGGGTCAGAGCCAGGTCTGTGTCACGGCGTGGGGACAAGAACAGCCACCCTCAAAGGGGAGCCCCCAGCCCACGCTCCTCACCGAGGGCGCAGAGGGAGGAGGGTGCGCAGCCAGAGGAGCGAAACCAGCCCGCCCCGAGCCCCGCTCAGCCCCCCGGGCCCCGCTCAGCCCCACGCCCCTCTCACCTGCCCAGGTGCGGGGCTCTCCGTGCCCCCGGCAGCCCTCGGTGCCCCCGGCCCGGCCTGGCCGTGCCCGGGGTGACTCAAGCGCAGCCCTGCGAGCGCCTCCGCGCCCGGCGGCACCAAAGCAGGGACTGGAGCCAGCAGCACCCGCCGGACGGGACTCAACTGGGCTGAACTGGGCTGAACTGGGAGGCGTCAGCGCCCGGGAAGGGGCGGCGCAGCGGGGATGCGCCCGGGACGGGGGCACCCCAAGGCTGGGGGAGACCCCAAGGGTGTGGAAAAGGGGAGGGGGTGGGAGATGTCCCCCCCTGGTGCCACAGCGGGGCTGGGGGCAGGATGTGCCTCTGGGGTCCCGGGAGAGCGCCTGGGGGAACTGGGGGCACTGGTCTGTGCTGGGGCTGGGGGAGCAGCACACCCGCCCCCTGCAGCCCCCACCCCAAAGCGTGGGGCCCCAGCTCCCTGGGGCTTTGCAGGACCCCATCCCAGGGTGCCCCCAGCCCATGATGCCTTCCCAGCCCCCGGGACAGCCCCAGCCCCCTCCCCACACCGTGGTTCCCCCATCCCATCCACCCCCAGGGCACGGCTCCCCCATTGCCTGCCCCACAGATCCATCCACCCCCATCCTGCCCTGAACAGCCGGGGCTCCCGAGCAGCCAGGACCACCCTGGGCGCTCAGCCCCACGCAGGATGGGGCCAGCAGTGCCAGGCAGGGATAGACCCCGGGCAGGAGCACCACAGCAGGACCTGTGCCTCAGTTTCCCTCGATGCCAGAGGGAGAGCAGCTGGCTGGGGGTGGGGGACAGGCTCCCCCCAGCTCTGATGTGAGATGGCAGCACTTGACAAGCACAGGACTGCAAGAAAAGGGGATTATTTTTAGCCTGGTGTCTCAGGAAATGAGACTTCGGCAGTGGCTTCGTGTGTCTGTCCCTGGGCCACTCCCCTCCCTCCCTGTCCCCCTGCAGGGCTCTCGCTGCTCAGCTCTGGGGGGTCCCAGAGGAGGGGATCCCCCAGTCCCAGGGGTGTCCTGGGAATGCAGCCAGGCCTCTGCAGAGGAACAGGGATGTGGGGACATCTGAGTCCCCTCAGGGCTTCCCGTGGGCTGGGGCTCAGCTCTGGGTCACCCCAGGTGGGCACCCTGGGCCCTTTGCTCTGCAGCACCCACAGTGAGGAGCCCTTATGGGATGGAGAAGGGCGTGAGGAGAAGTGGGACACGTCCTGCAGTGTGTCCCAGCCCATCCCTGCTGACCCAGGGGTGCAGAGAGTGCGCTGGGTCTCAGCCACAGCCTCGGGTGCTGGGGACGGAGGCTGCACCAACCGGTGACACCCAGGAGCACCCAGGAGCACCCTGGCACCTGAGCCAGGTGCTGGGCCGGCCCTCGGGGATGGTTTTCCTTGCAGGCAGCTTGCGGGGCACAGGGGCAGGGGCAGGTTCTGTCTCACCCGGGTGCAGCCCCGAGCCAGCGCTGCCAGGAGCGAGTCCCAGCCTGCCCCCAGCCCTCCTCCCCCTCCAGGACCTGCTCCTCAGGTCTGGGAGGTTCCGGCAAGTCTGGTGCTCCTGGGGGGAAACTGAGGCAGGAGCAGGCACTGGAGCATGGGCGGGGACCCAGCAGTGGATTTTTGGGTGGTGGGGAAGCCCTTGCAGCACAGAATCCTGGCTTTGGCACGGCCACGTGTCCCCCCAAGGCATGGGGACACCTGGCCCCTTCCTCTGCTGGGGTCTCAGCCTCCTGTGCCCTCTGCCCTCGCTGGCCCAGTGATGTGGCACTCAGAGAAACAGTGCCACACATGGGAATGGTGCCACATCCCCCGGGACAGACCCCAGCTCCCACAGGGACAGACCCCGCTCCCTGGGGCTGGGGGCCCTTTGCTTGCTCCTCCTTTTCATTTTTTATTCCAAATCCCCACACCAGAGCAGGGAGCCCGAGGGGTTTCCAGCCGTGGCTCTGGCTGGGAATGGCACTCAAGGCCTGGCTGGGAGGCCGGCGCTGGCTCTGGCCCCCCTTCCCTTGGGAACAAGGAGGGATCCGCAGCCTGGGAGGCGCCGCAGCCCCCGCAGTGTCCAGAGCTCCCAGCGGCACGGGTATCGCTCCTGGGGGAGCCTTTGATGCACCCGCAAAGGGGGCGCCCCCTGGGACCCCTCCCCTCGGGCCAGCTGCCCAACGGTGACCCCATTTCAAAGGCGGGGACATTCCCGGCTGCCCGCGGGGAGGGAGGTCGGGACCCCAGCCCCGCTCCGGCCCCGCTGCCCGGCAGGGTCGGTCACACGCGGCCGCCCCAGGCGAGGAGGGCGCGGGGGAGCAGCGGGGTCGCTCCGGGATGGATGGATGGGGGATGGATGATGGATGGATGGGGGATGGATGATGGATGGATGGGGGATGGATGGATGGATTCCATCCATCCCGCAGCATTCCCGGGGCCACGCTGGGAGCAGAGGGGAGCAGGGCTGGCACAGCAGCCTCCTGCCCAGGGCACCTGAGTGGGGCACGCTCGGCCCAGCTGCTTCCCTCCTGTGACTGAACCCCACAGCTCGTCCCACAGAGCCCCTGAGCTCCCGGCAGCAGCCGGAGATTGTTTGGGAAACCCTGCCAGGCTCGGGAGGCTCCCTGCGGTCCCAGGGGCTTTGCATCCTCACCTCACCTCCCAGCGACAGATGTGTGAGGATAAAGCCCTGAGAGCCGCCTGCCAGCCTGCAGGAGCTGGGCTTGCTGCCTGGAGGGGCTGAGCAGGAGGATCCAGGTGGTTTTCCATGAAATGGCTGCGCCATGAAATCCCCTGGCCTCGGACACAGCCTAATTTTAAGGCTGATGTACTCCCTGCCCACAGCTCCAGCCTCTGGATGTCAGATGGAACAGAAAATCAGTGGCTGCATCTGCAGTCAGCAGGCACAGCTTCCCCTGCTCCCAGCTCAGGCAGCAGACCCTGCTGGGAGAAGGGAAAATGAGTCTGGCTCTTTGCTCCTGGCAGCCCCAGGGCCAGGCCAGGCCTCCCCTCCCCTGGGAACGATGGGGGCTCTGGGCTGGGAAGGGAAAGGAGCTGGGAAAGCAGCGCCTCCAGAAAAAAGGACACAGACAAAAGGGAAGCTGTTCACAGCTGAAGGGAATCAGCCTTGGAAAAAGGCATCTCCCACCCCAGAACACTTGGCTGCCCCTGCCCCGGCATTAAATCCCAGGAACTCTTCCTGCACTGCAGGGGTGGGGAATTCTCCTGCCCCCCAAAGCTCCTTCCCAGCAGCAGGGTTGGGAGTTTTCCCTGGAGCAGGGAAAGGGGCGAGTTCATGAAGCCAAAGGTGTGGGAGCTTCGGGATCCTTTGGGCAGGAGAGGGGCCAGGGAGATCCTGATCCCAACCCTGCTCTCGCCTGAGGGCTGGGAGCAGAGACAGCACTGGGAGATATCCACAGAAATCAGTTTATTTCCCTGCCGTCGGGATTATGAAACCACAGAAGCAGAGTTTAAATATTTACAAAGAAATCCAGCGCCCCGCAGAGATGAAGGGAACAAAGGATGAGGGATGGGGGCTCGCCCTCGCCATTCCAAACTCCGCTCTGGTAAAAAGCATCAGGAGCAAACGAGAGGGAATTTCACAGTGGGGGTTTGGAAGTCCAGGGGCCCCTGACACCCCCAAGTCTCAGCTTTGGCAATTCTTGCAGAGGTCGTGGATAAAACACGGACGGGAGGGGCTCGAGGTTATTGCTGAGGGGAAGCTCTCCCCTCTCCCAGCGCTGGGCAGCGCTCCCGGGCGGAGACCAGAGCTCCGAACGCTCCGTGCTCTCCTCCCGGCTCTCTCCGACCAGGATTTGGGTGCCCCAGCAGCCTCCATCCATGCTCTGAGCACGGGAAGGGAAGGGAGGGACTGCACAGAGCAGCCAGCGCTGCTCCAGCTCCGGGCTCAGGCCACGATGGGGTGACAGAGGGACAACAATGAGCAGGAGGTGTAAGGGCTGGTTTAAAAGTGACCGAGGAACAGGGGAAGCACAGAAACGAGCTCGAGGAGGGTCCAACCCTCCCACATGGCTGGAGGAGCAGGGAAGTGGCACATGGGGAGGGGTCTGAGAACCAGAGGGCTGACACTGAGTGGGCTCTGCAGTCAGAGGAAGCTGCAGGCATGGCAGGGACCCCAGGAAAGCTTTCCTGCTGGCCACAAGCACTCCTTGAAATGCATTCCTTGGAACCCATCAGGTACTGGGGCAAAGGTGTGAGTGGAAAAGCCCCTCTCCCCCTCTGCAGTCAGCTCAGCTGCACATGGCCCTTCAGCCAGGCTGGGGTTAAACCCCCCTGGCTCAGAGCCCTCCAAACCCAGCCCCTGCAGAGCAGACCCAGCAGCAGAAGGGGTCCCAGGTCACACCCAAACTCCCTCCCTGCCTGGCACTCAGGGACAACCCCCCCATGGCCCATCCTACCTGAGCTGTGCTCCCCACACCAATCCCTGCACAGCCCCAGGCCCAGCTGTGCTCCCCACACCAATCCCTGCACAGCAGCCCCCGTGCCCAGCTGTGCTCCCCACACCAATCCCTGCACAGCCCCAGGCCCAGCTGTGCTCCCCACACCAATCCCTGCACAGCCCCAGCTGTGCTCCCCACACCAATCCCTGCACAGCCCCGTGCCCAGCTGTGCTCCTCACCCCAATCCCTGCACAGCCCCTGTGCCCAGCTGTGCTCCCCACACCAATCCCTGCACAGCCCCAGGCCCAGCTGTGCTCCCCACACCAATCCCTGCACAGCAGCCCCCGTGCCCAGCTGTGCTCCCCACACCAATCCCTGCACAGCCCCCGTGCCCAGCTGTGCTCCCCACACCAATCTCTGCACAGCCCCAGGCCCAGCTGTGCTCCCCACACCAATCCCTGCACAGCCCCAGGCCCAGCTGTGCTCCCCACACCAATCCCTGCACAGCCCCTGTGCCCAGCTGTGCTCCCCACACCAATCCCTGCACAGCCCCAGGTGTGCTCCCCACCCCAATCCCTGCACAGCCCCTGTGCCCAGCTGTGCTCCCCACACCAATCCCTGCACAGCCCCAGCTGGGCTCCTCACCCCAATCCCTGCACAGCCCCAGGCCCAGCTGTGCTCCCCACAGCAATCCCTGCACAGCAGCCCCTGTGCCCAGCTGTGCTCCCCACAGCAATCCCTGCACAGCAGCCCCTGTGCCCAGCTGTGCTCCCCACACCAATCCCTGCACAGCCCCCGTGCCCAGCTGTGCTCCCCACACCAATCCCTGCACAGCCCCCGTGCCCAGCTGTGCTCCCCACACCAATCCCTGCACAGCCCCAGGTGTGCTCCCCACACCAATCCCTGCACAGCAGCCCCTGTGCCCAGGTGTGCTCCCTAAGCCATTCCTCAGTCACCAGCCAGGAGAAGCCTCTGCCCCAGTTTCTGCTGCAAAGCCCAGCCAGACAGGCAGCTCCCAGTGCCTCCACCCCCTCTCCAGCCCCAGGCTCAGGGGCTGCTCCCACAGAGCTGCTCCAGCCCCAGGCTCAGCTCCCTGCCCCAGCTGCTGCCTGCCCTGCTGGGAGCTCGGGGATAAAAGGGAAACGAGTGGCTTGTGAGGACTGCAGCGCCAGATTTAGCAACAGAGAGCCCAAGGAGAAGCAGGGGAGTGGTATTTTCTCTGGCACAAGCTGAAAGGGACCAAGGGCTGCCTCCCCAACTGCAGCAGGCTCCTGAGGGGTGCACCCTGCCATGAGCTGTTCCCCAGCCAGCCCTTCAGCCTTCCTGCCCTTCCAGGCTCACCAGCAGGACCAGGGGAGCCGGCCCTGCCACGAGCAGTGTCCCACCTCACCTCCTGCCTCTGCTGGGGCCATCCCTGAGTGCTGGGGCACCCCACCCTGCCACAAGAACCCACACCTCCCCTCTGGAATGTGTGCTACTGGAGAGGCGTGCCACAGGGAGAACAGCAACTCCTAACTGCAGACCCAGGGAACCGAGGAAGCATCTGGTAAGGAGGAGGAGGAAAGCAGGTGCTCAGAGAGACCCTCCCAAGGTGGATCTGCTCGTGCCACTGCAGGAGGCAGAGCTGCCTTGAGGCTTTTCTTGGCACTGAAAGCAAAGGTGCCCACCCCTCCCCTCCCCTGAGCCCATTCCCACCTCCCCAGCTGCAGAAAGGGAGAGGGCAGAAGCTTCCAGACCCCTGACACTGGGAGACACCATCGACAGAACAGAGACAGGAGGAAAAGAAGCCAGCTCCAGGAGAGGAAGATGAGCTGTCACGATGGAGTGGGGCCGCCACCTTCCCTGGAAAAGGCTCCCAGAGCCCCAGGCCTCCATCCTGCTGGATCAGTCACAGTTTCTTCCTTTGTGTGCTCAGGAATGGGGGGGCCAGGGCTGCCATCACCGCAGGTGCAGGGTGAGAACCACGGTCACAATCACCCCCAGGAACAGGACAAAGGGCAGCCAGGTCTTCACAAACCCCCCTATGCTGCAGGAGGAAAAGGGGACAAGGTTTCAATGGGAGAAACCAGCAGAGACAAAAGGATGGGAGAACAACTGGAGAAATCAGAGGGAGACAGATGACTGACTGTTACCTGCTGCTGGCACTGCCACACACCCCATCCTGGAAATTTGGTGTTAAAAGCTGACACTCAGTCAGGACCACAACCAACAGGGCTGGAGTCTCCTTCCAGCTTAAATTAAGTCAAAGACAAGCCCATTTCATCCCTGCACAGACAGGAATGGTGACAGGAGGCCACAAAAAACAAAACCCCATTACCACAGGGCTTGTCATTCCGACTGCTGGTGGATTTAACCAAGACAGCTGGAGCTATCCTTGCCCAAAAGCAGGTGAAGCAGCTCCTCCAGGACAGGGAAGACTGCACAGAAGTGGAGCTTCATGAGCCCTTCCTTTAGGAAAGCTCGGGGTTTCCCTCTGCAGTGCAGTGGGAAGCTCCACAGCAGCTGGAAATCAGACTGGTTTTTATGTAAACAAGACTCAAGAGTGGGGAGGGAAACCAGTAATCCTTGGAGAGAAGCCATCCTGTGACCTTATGTTCTGACCTACCCCAGCCAGAAGACAACACAGAGTGAGATTTGCTTTAGCCAGCATTTCCCAAATTCCAGGCACTCCAAAGCAGCAGCCAGAAACAGGATTTTGGGAGCAGCACCTAGTGCAACCCAGCAAGCACTCCTGCTTCTCCTGCTGAGCACAGGCAGTGACAGCACCACCCACCAGCAACACACCCACGGCTTGGGGGGATGCTTCTCCCTTCTCCATGGGCCAGGTGATGCTTCAGAGGGCTCAGGAGAAGGAAAGGGCCCCTTCTGCTGCCAAATCCAGGCTGTCCCTCAGCTCACCTGACGTATTTCCCGTAGAGGAGTGTGAAGAAGCACAGTTTCACCATGTTCCAGGAGGTGCTGTTATCATATCTCATCAAGTTTAAGGCCAGAGCCACGTGGGAATGGCAGTTGTCACAGCAAAGGTTGTGCTGGAACACAAAAAGGGATTAGAAAAGGGACAGCCCTGAGGTTTGCCAGCCCTGGTGACAAGCCCCAGGTCTCACCCCCACAGTGGGGAGAGGAGGGATCCCTCCCAGCCCTGCAGAGATAGGGAATAGTTTGGGCTGGATGGACTTGGAAGCTCCTTGCTCCAACCTGGCCTTGAACACTCCCAGGGTGTCCAGAGTGTCTCTGGGATGCCTGGAGCCCCTGGGGGACCCTCCCTGCCTCCCTCCCCCCAGGCAGGGCAGGACAGGAGCTGTACCATGCGGTGCTTGTACTCCTCGGAGGCGTCGTGCACAGCCGTGTCCCAGGCGTTGGGACCAGTGGCATAAACCTTGCTGGGATCCAGCTTCCAGTACCTAGGAGGGTGAGAACAGCTTCCTTGGCATGGTTCCACTGCTGCACCTGCCCCAGTGCTGCTCCTTGGTGGAATCACAGCCTCCAAGGAGCCACGAGGCTCAGAGACCAACTCCTGGCCTGCACACCCAGTGCCTCTGAAATGCACAGAGCCCAGCTCTTGTTGCCATCTTATTGCAGGGGTTCCATGCTGTTGTCTCCTGGTTGCAAAGGTTTCACACCTTCTTGGTGTTTCTCCTGGGCAGCTCCTCAGAGCTCTGACTCTTTCTTCTTCACAAAGCAGCCACTGACCCCAGCTCCCTTCTCACCACCACCCCACTCTTTTACAGCATCTTCTTCTCATTGGGTACAGCTGTGGCCTGGTAAAGTCAGGCCTGCTCCTAATCTTCGATAATTGGCCCAGCTGCAACTCCTTAGGGGTAAGATTACTTTCTACACTATCTTTATTTTCTTATATTCTATCCCATACAAGCTCTGAGACAAGCAGAGGCAGCAGAAAGGCTGCTCAGCACCCCAGACAGAAATCACAGGGCTCAGGGGACAGCCCTGAGCTGCTCCCACGTCCCAAAGGAACCCCCCAGCCATTGTGAACACAAAGCTGACCTGGGAGACACAAAGCCAGCACTGACAGGATGGGAGAGACCTCAGCTCACCAGCACAGCCAGGCAGTGTTTACTCAGAGCACTGGTTAACATCATCCTAGAACGGTTTAGCCTTTTCTTTTCCTTTTCTCTAACAAAGGCTCCACACAGCTTTGGTTATTAACACCACCACGTTGCTGTCATGCTGCTAAAAAGATTTAATTTAATGTGGTTTCCTGAAAAGCAGAGACACAGCTGCCAGCAAGGTGAAGGAGGGCAGCTGAGCACCAGGAAAAGCAGTGTCACAGCTCGTCTGTCCCCAGGAGCTGCAGGGCAGCTGCTCAGTTTCATACAAACACGCAGCACTTACTTCACAGGTTTCCCAAATGCCATGTTGTCTTCCTACAAAAACAAAAGGAGAGCTGTCTCAGGAGGCTGAAGGCAATGCTCAGGGCATGGCTGGTGCTGGAGGTCCCACAGGCTGAGTGATCCAACTGCCCCACACCAATCCTGGGGGTGCCTGGGTCAGGATTCCCCTTGTCCCCATACTCCTGCTCTGGGCACATTCACACTCCACACTCAGTGACACCACTTACCTACAAGTGCCTTGTTCCCCTTCCTTTTTCTCTTTAAGTGTTAATATTTTGTTAACCCTTGGTTGCAATTGTCTCAATCTATTGGGAGCATTAATTATCCCAAATTAAAACCCTCTTTTCTTTCAGAATCCCCTGGACCCTCAGCAGCTCAAGAGGCCTGGCACACACCTGATGCTGAGCAGCACGACAGAAACAGCCACGCTGAGGCAGCTGAAGGCACTTCTGCTCCTCAGAATTAAGAGAATTTAACTCCTGAACATGAGATTTTTTTTTCCCCTTCTCCTCACCAATTATTATCAGGCCCCCAGATGAGCTCCAGTGGAGCAGCAGGAAGGAGCCCAGACCCTGAGAGGGCCCTGGAGGTGTGATTTGAGCAGGGGAGGGCAGGGGTACTCACGGACACAAAGTAGGGCCCCGCGAAGTCGCGGATGACGCCGGCCGAGGTGCAGATGCCCATGTGGCCAATGATGGGGAACAGCCACCTGCAAGGGACAGGGACACGTCAGGGGACACCTGGCCCTGCTCCCGCCACGGCAGCGGGGCCAGGCAAGGGCTGGCAGGGACCCGAGCACAGGGAGAACACCAAGGGAGCAGCCCCAGCCCCGTGGCAGGAGGCTGGGAGGGAGCACCCCACCCCAAAGCAGCACCCCACCCCAAAGCAGCACCCCACCCCAAAGCAGCACCCCGTGCACACCAGGGCAGGGCAGGGCAAGGCACGCAGGGCAGGGCGAGCCCCAGAGCCACACAAACCCCTCTGTGCAGCCAAGCACAAAGATCAGATCCTGCAGGGACTGCCTGGGCACAAAACCGGACTTTCCACTCCAGCAACCAAAAACCAGGTCGCCCTGCCCACCTTGCCATCATCACGCTGCAGCTTTCCACAGCAACCCAGATCCAAGCTCTCCAGACAGAGAACAGAGTTCCTGGCTCTGGCAAGGGCGTTCCCTCCTCTAAAAGATCCCAGTGTTCCACTGACCTTCTCCCTGATGGGTGCTTACAGCCCCAGGGAGCAGCAGACCTTTATCCCAACCCCCTTCCATCACCAGATCTGTATCCCAAACCCTTTCCCTCATCACACCTACATGCCAGCCTCCTCCATCACTATCCCATAGGAGTGAATACTCCAGGTCCTGTTCCAGCCCTCTCCCACCTGCTCCAGCACCCTCAGATTTGCTGATCTCCCTGACTTCCCTCTCCTCTCTCCCTGAGGGCCCTGGTGGCTCTGGCAGCTCCCTTCAGCTGGGGTTAGGAATGTTAAAAAAGCTCTGGAAAATCCTCCAGGAAAAGGCCGAGGTGAAAGTTTTAAGCAATCAAAAAAGAAAAGATAAAAAGGATCAAAGAGACGGCAGGAGGGGACGTGCAGCCTCTCCCCGGGCCGTTCCCAATCCCGGCACACCCCACCCCACATCTTGTACCCGACCGGGAGCCCGGCTCGGCAAACATCACCTGATGGGAACCCGGGGAAGAGCAGGTGGAAAAACAAGCCTCGCTGTGCCCAGACAACCCCCACAGCCACAGCTTTGCGCGTTCTCACGAGCGGAGCAGAGCTCCGAGCTCTCCCTGGAGCCTGCCCACGCTTGGCCGGGAAGGCACCGCGGGTCCCGGTGATGCAAAGGAACGCACCGAGACTCCCCGGGGGCACGGGCTGCTCCCAGATCCCTGCGCTCCAAAAGCGCTTCCCACGTTCCCGACTCGCTCCGCTCCCGCAGGGACTGGCCCGTTCCGCACCGGGCCTTCCCCCGCTCCCACGGCCGCGGAACGAGCCCGTCCCGGGCCGGGGCCCCGCGGCAGCCGAGCGCCCCGGGACGGCAGGCGGGAACCGGGAGCGGCAACGGGGACCGGGAGGGGCGAGGGGGAAACCCGGGAGAAGGGCTCGGGAGGGGCTCAAGGGCCCGGGGGAAGCGCGGGGCTCCCGGGACAGGCGAGGGGAGGCCCCGGGGGAGGCGCGGGGGTCCCGTCCGGGCCCGGCCCCCGCCGCGCCGCCCGCCCCGGTGCGGCCCCGGCGCCTCGCTCACGTCAGGACGGGGATCGGGGTCCACACCACGCAGTGCGGGAAGCGGCCGCGCTCCGCGTCCGGCGCGGCGCCGCCGCCGCCATTGAACTGCTTCATCCCGGGCTCCGCCGCCGCCATGCCCGGGGCGCGCCCGCAGCGCGTCACTTCCGGCGGGCCCGCGCGCTTCCGGGCACCGGGAAACCGGGAGCGGGCCCGGGCCGGGAATGGAACGGGAATGGGAACGGGACAGGGCCGGGAATGGGAATGGGAATGGGAATGGGAACGGGACAGGATCGGGAACTGGAACAGGACCGGGAACGGCACAGGACAGGGAATGGGCCGGGGCCGCAGCCGCAGGACCAGAGCCCAGGTCCGGGCCTGGGCCCCCAGGGCCGGGAGCTGGGGGAGCCCCCTAAAGCCCCGAGGGGAGCTCAGGGGCAGAAATCATCAGAAATTATCCGAAGTAATCAGAAATTATCCGAAATAATCAGAAATCATCAGAAATAATCCGAAATCATCATCCCACGGAGCCTCCGGGACGGGGGAGGAACTGTCAGAGCAGCACCAGCAGAGGGAAAGCCCCGGGTTAGGAAAATAACAATCGCTGTATTAGGAAGTTAAACTCGAACTGCAGGAGGAAGATGGAGAAATGTGTTTATTCCAGATCCCCACCTACCCCAACCCTGGGAGCACAGTGAGACCCGCGGGGCTGGGGGAGCACAGCGGGGTCAGGGCTGCCCCAGCCCAGCCCAGTTTGGGGCTGTCCTGCCCCAGGCTCAGCAGAGCTGCCACTGGCCTGCCAGGGCTTGGCAATAAAAACAAACACTCCTTATAAATAAATAAATAAATAAAAAATATAAATTATATAAAATATAAATATAAATAATAAACCAAGAATCCCTTTCTGCATGTGGCACAGAGGCAGCGCAGAGCCGAGGGGGTTTGGGGACTGACAGACCCCGTTCCCCACACTCATCACAAACTTACAGCTCCCCCTTTTTACCAACATTCCTTCACCAAAGGCTTCTCCCTGCTTTGTGCCCTCCTCCCCTCCCTGCCTGGTCCCTCCTGTTGGGCTGGGCCTGGCCGTGGGTGTTCTGTGTTCCAGGGCAGAGCAGCAGTGGCACAAAGAGCTTTGGACCCCGAGGGCTCCAGGGGTGAGCTCTGCCCACCTGAGGGGCCACCCCGAGGGGTCCTCCCCTCTGGAGGGGCCACTGGGCAGCAGAAAACGTCACTCCAGTTCCCTCTCAGGGTGTCCTCCCCGCCCTCAGACCACAGCAGCTCCCCTTGAGCTGTCTGGTGGAAAGGAATCCACAAAACAGTCTGTCTCCAAAAAAAGAGAGAAAGCTGAGCAAATCAAACGCTGGAGAGCCAAGCCATGGCTGGCGCTTTGGTTTCTGTTTTCCTCTTCCAGGACAAAGAGCAATGGGTTCAAACTGAAAGGGGGGAAATCAGCTTGGACAGGAGGAAGGAATCCTCCCTGTGAGGGCGGGCAGTGCCCAGGGCCAGGCTGGGAGCAGCCAAGGGAAGGTGTCCCTGCCTGGGCAGGGGTGCAGTGAGATGCCCTTTAAGGTCCCTTCCACCCCTGAACATTCTCTGGTTCCATCTTGGCACTCGGGATGGCAGATGCACACAAAGGTTGTGTTTCACTGAACGCTTTTTGTTCGGCAAAGGAAAAAAGCCCTGGCATTGATTTGCTGCAGGCCAACATAAATATCAGAGATTGTGAAAAAGCCACAAACGAGGGCCAATGTTCACATCAGCTAATGTGGTCCTGCCACGTCGCTCGGATTAGGCAATGGATTTGCTCTTCCTGCTCATGGCTGGGAGGCTGCTAAGCAGGATATCACCAGGGAGCAGCTCCTTGGCAGAGCCACACGGCGGGGACAGCGCTGGCAGGAGTGTCCCTGCAGGGGCAGCTGTGACAGGAGCGCCACCGCAGTGCCACCTCTGACAGGAGTGTCCCCGCAGTGCCACCTCCCTCCTGGGGCAGCTGTGACTCCTCTCTCCCTCCCGAACCGAGTGCAGGAAGGCAAACCCCGCTGCTGGAGCTCGGGAAGAACACAGCTTTCCCCAGGCTGGATTAAAAAAATAATAATTAAAGCCCGAATCAATAGAGCACGGGTTGGCTGCGCAGCTCTTTGTGTCTGTCAGGGAAGCACAAGGGCTCTCCAGCCCCGGCAGAGCTCGGCTGAGCTGGAGCTGACAGCAGGGTCTTCCTAGTGACAACTGGGAAGCTGCTGCTGTTGTGCTGCTATTGATCTAAGCAGAATACAAAACACCTGAAGTCAGCAGGGAAAAATAGCTGCAGTTGGAAAAGGAGCTGTGGGGGGGAGCACAGGGAGGGGAGAGCAGGTAAGAAGTTCTCCATGCATAAAATTAAAGGCCAGGGTTTTATTGCAGCTCTCCTGCCTGACTACAGCCCTGGATCGATGTGCAGAGCAGGAATGGTGCCATCATTGTTTGTGCAAGCTCTCATTTGAGGAGGAACAAAAGGCTTTGCCAGGGGATGGCTCCTGTGCCTGCCCTCAGCCAGACACCCTCAGGACGGCGGGGCCAGCGGGTCCGGAGCCTTCCTGAGGGGAGCCATGGGGAGATGCACAAACTGTGGCTCTGTCCCAGTCCATTCTGGGGGCTCGGGGCACTCTGGGTTTGTCCCTGGTCCATCCCAGCCCAGCCTGGAGCCCAGCCCAGCCGGGACCCGGGGCTGTCCCGTTCCAGGCTGGCTCAGGGCAGAGCCGGAGCAGCGGGCGCCCAGCCAGGCCCTGCCCTGGGCACCCTCCCTGCAGTGAGAGCCCCAGCGCTGGAGAGGCAGAGCCAGAGCCCTCGGGAGGGATCCCCTCCCCCGGCTGACACTGCAAATGTCACCGAGGCTGCCGATGACACCAGGCCTGCGTCCTCCCTGGCCACAGGGAGCCTGCGCTGGGCTGCGATGGATGGATTGTTACTCTCTCTGGCTGTGCCATTCCCTGCTCTGCTCATGCTGTTACCCTGCTCTGGCTGTGCCATCCCCTGCTCTGGCTGTGCCATTCCCCTGCTCTGGCTGTGCCATTCCCCTGCTCTGGCTGTGCCATTCCCCTGCTCTGGCTGTGCCATTCCCTGCTCTGCTCATGCTGTTACCCTGCTCTGGCTGTGCCATCCCCTGCTCTGCTTGTGCCATCCCCTGCTCTGGCTGTGCCATCCCCTGCTCTGGCTGTGCCGTTCCCCTGCTCTGGCTGTGCCATCCCCTGCTCTGGCTGTGCCATCCCCTGCTCTGCTCATGCTGTTACCCTGCTCTGGCTGTGCCGTCCCCTGCTCTGGCTGTGCCATCCCCTGCTCTGCTCTGTGCAGCCCCAGAGCCTCTCCTGGCTCAGTGTGAGCCCCAAGGTCCCTTGGGCTCTGCTGGTGCCACTCACAGCCCCAGGGGACACGCCAGCCTCAGCCACCCTCCCCAAAGTGGCCCTGAGCCACCCCAGCCCTCAGCTCCAGCCTTCAAGGCTTTTCTCTCTCCCTGCCACTGGAAGCTGCATTTCCTCCTCCCTTTCTCTCCCTCTCCAATGCACAGGGCAGCTTCCCTGGCTCGAGGAACAGCCCCAGTTTCCCAGGGGCACACTGGAAGCACTCCCAGAGCCCAGTGCTGGTTGTGGCGACTGCTCGGCCATGAAATCCAGGACAAAACCCAGCTCCCCTCCAGGCAGCCCTAAACCCCATCAGTCTCCAGTCCTGCAAGGCAAGGCCTGGACAGCCAGGAGGGCTGAGCTCCTCCAGCACCCACAGCAGGCACATTCCCATCCCTGCTCCCATTTTGCTCACACACAGGACCCATCTTGAGCCCTCTGCAGTTTTGTCGCTGGCACTGCCAATGGTTCCATCACAGAAAAGTGAATTTGTCAGGCTGAAAATATGTTCCTCCCCCCACATCCAGAGCATATCCCTCCTCTGCCTCCTCAACCCAATCCTCTCATCCAAATGACAAATAAAACTAATTTTCTGGGTCCTTCTACCCATTTCCACCCACAATTCAAACACTGAGCTTCCAACCACTCACTCCAAGAGCTGACCCAATTAGCTGATTGCCAATTCCAGCTATGGATGCTCATTGCTTTGTTACAGCAGAGCTGCCTTTGGAAGCAATAATTTATATCAGACAGGATTTGAAATGAAGAGGCCTCAAAAGACCTTCGGCTGAAAGGTGTCCAACAGGAATTTTTAAGAGAAGAGTTCAAATGGATTCTGAGCATAACAGCCTGGTTTTCTAGCTCTCCCTTAAGGCCTGCAGATTGGAGAGCAAGGAAATACTTGGGAGGCTTTGCAGCAGGAATCCAGAGGAAGAAGTGAGTTTATGAAATCCTTTAGCAAAGGAACATCTCTGGGTGCAGAGGCTGGTGATGGGTGCACCATGTAAGGCAGGGAATGTCACAGAGCACCTCGGGAAGGGTGACTTGGGCAGATACCTGGCTGTGCCCCAGCCCTCTCAGAGCAGCTCCAGGGCAGGGTGGGCTCTGATGGATGCAGCCCTGAGCCTCCCGGGGGCATCAGGGGCCTCCCCAGGATTTCAGAGCTCTGCTGTCTCTGGGGAGGCGCCCTCAGAGCAGGGATTGCTGCAGCAGCTCTGCAGGATCAGCTCCCTCCCTCCCTCCTCCAGGCAGCTGCTCCCATCCCCACCCCGGTGCTGGCAGCCCCAAAGCCCCCAGCCCTGAGTTCCCAAACCTGGATGAATTAACTCAGCACTCACTCTGGGGCCAGCACAGCTTCAGGGCCACATTTTGGGCTCCCCTTCCCATGCACATTTTGGAGCCTCTGAGGAACTGAGAGCACCTGGCCCAACCAGGCCCCCCTCCACCCACCCTCGCAGAGCAGAAAGGTGCAACAAAACCACAAGGAGCCCCCGAACAAAACGACACCAAGAAAGAACTAGAACAAAGAATTGTTTAATCGCTTAACCCTTTCTCTTCCAGGGACCAGAGAAACAAGTTGTCTGCTCCTTCTAATGAGGGCAGTAAGGCTCGTGTGTTACCTCTACAACTGCAGGGGCAAAGTTTACGAGATGATCGTCTTTAGTACTCAAAAAAGCGAGAAGCAATGGTCACTGCAACACTAAGAGAATCCTAGAGTCTCCTAACGGAGAGCCCATTGCTAGAATACAAAAATAAAGGAGG